CATGAGTGCTGGAGAAGATCATAAAATTTGCCCAGCATCGCTAGCCATTAAAATGCAAATCAAACCCTAGTGAGATCAATATCTCCTATTCTCATGGCTAGAATGAAAACAAAATGACGAGAACACCAAAATGGTGGGAAATTTATGGAAATCTGGGTCATTCGGGTATTGCTTGAAGGAACGTGTAGTGGTGTGGCCATGTAGAAAAGACTAGAAAGTATCTTAGATAATGGGAGATGTAATTACCAAATTATCCCATAATTGCAGGTGTTATGCATACAACCACCTACAACCATCGCTAACTATGGATGGCTCTCCTGGGAATTACGCTCAGTGAGAAGGAGGCTGTATATCATTTTATTATTTAATGTCTTGACCCATTTATATAATGATGTTGAAATGACAAAATTATGCAAACAGATCAATGGTTTCCAGATGGAAACGTGTGGCAGGGAAAGTGGCTGTGGCTATAAAAGGATAACATGGTGGACACTAAAAATAGCACAGTGATGTCATACAATAAATATCTGGTGATAGTCTGATGAACCTATAGAAGTGTGTAGAAACACACACACATGTATGTGTAAAACCGACAAAATGGGCACAAGATTACTTGGTGGGTTGTACCAATATCAATTTCCTCGTTGTCCTATTGTGTTATGCTATTTGTACAAGAAATTACTATTGAGGGAAAATGGCTAAGGGACATGACATTATCGCTAAACTACTTTTTCAGCTGGATATAATCCTGCAATTATCTCAAAGCTAAAGTTTCTAAGGTACTGTGTGTTGCTTCATTTGTCTTGCATGTGAATATGATTTTAAAGACACCAAATCACCAAATAAGTCCCCTAATCTCCAATTTAACCTTGAATAGACAATAAAAACTGTGTTAAAATGAGCAGCGATTGGTGCAAATGAAGGATCTTGGGAAATGAGAGTATTGTTGCTTGTGATTGAGGAACACAAAGCCGCAATTCCACACATTTTATACTACGGGTAAGCAAAGCATTTACAGGACATATTTATAAAATGACCATCTTGAAGGCAGCAACACTAAGCACTGACCCAGAATGACGTGAAGACATATTTAAATATTCTGGAGACTATTTAAAGTTCGTCGTTCTCTTCAGTTGCAAAGTTGTTAAGGGGTGAGAGGTTCTCTGCAGGGTCTCTAATCATAAGGGTCGACTAAACTTTAATCTTGAGCTCTTGTATATTTGTTTTTAATTTGTTGTGGAATCAAAACTATTGAACTGTGGGTGTTCACAGGAAATTAAGTTTTAAAATGTTCATTATATTTTTAGCATGGAATTCCGGTTGAATTTTCTAACTTTAAAGCTGTTTTACTGCTCAAATTCTTTTGGTTCCTTAGGAAACTGCATCCTCCCTATTTGTACAGATTTTGATGCAAAAAAAATGAAATGCTGCTGTTTATAACAGAAATAACTTTAAAATATTGCAGAATCCAACTGTCCTTCAGTGATTTATATTTGAGACGCTCGGAGGTGAAGAACTCTGGCTGACCTTCAAAGGATACAAGTTTAATCTTCAGCACGCACACAGCAGCTCACAACCATCTGTAACTGCAGGTCCAGTGATCCCATGACCTTTTTGGCCTCTACAGGTACTGCACACATGTGATGACAGGCACACATGAAGGCAAAACTCCCATACATATAAATTAATTTAAAAATTAATCTATACTGAATGAGCCCATGAATTTTTATATCTACAAGGAAGTTCTACTTAACACTTACATGCTCTCTTCTTTCTTTACATTTTAATTCTGTGTGTGTATGTGTGTGTGTGTGTGTGTGAGAGAGAGAGAGAGAGAGAGAGAGAGAGGGAGAGGGAGAGGGAGAGAGAGAGAGAGAGAGAGAGAGAGAGAGAGAGAGAGAGAGAGAGAGAGAGAGCGCACTGAAGAGGTGATAGGACATTTTGTGGGACTTGGTTATTTCTTTCCACCTTGTGGGAGGGATTGAACTTAGGCCATCAAGACTGGCAGCAGGCACCTTTGCCCACCGAGTCATGTCATAGGACTCTGGTTTTTTTTGTTTGTTTGTTTGTTTTTTGTTTTTCGAAACAGGGTTTCTCTGTGGTTTTGGAGCCTGTCCTGGAACTAGCTCTTGTAGACCAGGCTGGTCTCGAACTCACAGAGATCCGCCTGCCTCTGCCTCCTGAGTGCTGCGATTAAAGGCTTGTGCCACCATCGCCCGGCCCTCTGGTTTTGTTTTTTATGGGTATTTACCCCTGGTTTTTCCTTACAGACACATTTTTTAAAAATCTCAAAGCATTATTGTCTTCAGGCTTAATAAGGCTATACACCAGGTTCGTTGCTTTGGCATGAATGTTATTCAATTATATACTAGCTATTTTTTAAATTAAGAAAATATACTCCATCAAATCTGAAGGTCATGAAGTTCAAAGTGGTAACTATAAAGGCTTACCTGCCCAAAGCTCACAGCCATCGTGGTGATATTGTGACTGCAGTTATATGAAGTCATGGTAACAGAATACTGAATCGCTGTAGTTGATCCATTTATTTTGGTCTTATTCACCTGAAAATGCTTTAAAAATATTCCTTTGTTTGCAAGTGCTGGAGGTCTTCTCTTTGGCATTTCTGTAAAAGTCAGTGCGAGAAAAGATTCCAGTGTTAAGGTTTTGCTATGTCATTGATAGAATTCACATGTGCATAAATCTATCAATAGGACTTGGTAAATGATGCCAAGATGTGTAAATAAAATTTTCCCTTGTAGCATCATTATCACACAAGTCTGTGAAAACTTTCAAGTCCACCATATCAGAAAGTCGTTACTGTCAAATAGTTGCAAATGAAAAACAGCTTTCTTTCTTCATCGTTGCTTTCTCCAAGATAAGCAAAGGTATGTATAAGCAAAGTTTGCTATAGTTTATTTATTAACAAGCCAAATCCAGAATCATAAACTAGTAATTGCTATGATTGGAAGAGGCTGACATTAAGAATTTATTCATTGTTAAAGTGACCAAGCAGCCCCATCCATTACAAGTAAAGTTAATTCATAATACTACTGAGGTAAAGGAGCAGATCATTAATATTTATGGGTTAGTATTTTGTCTTTACCACTGAATATGAGAGTGATTTCCATGGTAGTATTTTAAAAGCTAGATTTTGAAGGTTGAACTGTAAATAAAATGAGTCCACATACCACCCAAAGCTGAGACTGTAGGTGTTTGTCCAATGTACACTGCATCCACATAGACGGGCTGGCTTTCGGATGATTTTTGTAAGCTAATCCTTTGTAGAGAAAAACTTGTCCCCACATATTTGGTTTGTAAGAAATCTAGAAGATCTATGCAAGTGTAGGTCCACCTGAAATACGTTGCATAATGTTGTGTTTACATTAGTAATAAGTATACATAATATAAGTGCTACAACAGGCTCGAGATGGCTCTATTTGGAAAGTGTTCACTGCACAAACAAAAGGGCCAGAGTTCAGATCCCCAACATCCATGCGAAAGCCTGGTGCCACAGGCTCTAGTCACAGCACTGGGGGGCAGAGTCAGGAAGAGCTCTGAATCTGATTGCCTATAGTCCTAGCCCAGCTGGTGAGCTCCAGGTTTCCATTGGGTGGAAAGTGAGTAAGGAAAATGTCCAATACTAACCTCTGGTGCTTACATATGTGTACACACTTGCACATATGCCCACAGGCATGTGTATATACACACACATGAGCAGAAACTAACCTAAAATGAAAGACTTCACTGTCAATGAGATATTAATGCTGTGTACATGTAGAGGTTTTATTTGTAGCCTTGGCTCTACCTATCGAGATGTAAAATAACTTTCCATCATGGTATTTAGGAAGTTAAGCAGCACAGTTTGAATAGAGCACATTAATAAAGACAAAATAGCATGAAATCTACTATTTCTTAACTATATGGGAAACAGAAAAGTAAATTCTGATTCTAATTTTAGTGAAAATACTTTGAGTTTTTTTTTTAAGTATATAATGTTGCCTATAGTCTTATTACATATAGCCTTTTTAAGTCAAGACACGTTCCTTTTATTACTTATCTCTTTGGGGGTTTTGTCATGAAGGGATTCTGGATTTTGTCTAAAATGCTTCTGCATCTATTAAAAGAAGCTTATGATTTCTGTTCTTTAATATATTCATTGTTTGCTGATTTGTGTGTTTTGAGTTGTTCCTGAACCTCTGGAATGAAGCCAACTGGATCATGGTAAGAGAAAGAAATGAGACTAGTCTGGGTATTGTAGTATAATTTGTTGTGAACCCATGATGTGTCTTACTTATTTCCAGAAGAAAAGTCATATTCGAATTGCATATCAGCACTTCTAAAGATCTTGCCACTGTCTTGGTACTTGAACTTCAGACCAATGTGGTTGGCTAAGGATCCTTTGTATGCGAAACAAAACTACATAAAAATATGAAAATGGTTAATAACAATATTTTACAATTATTTTGTATTATAACAATTCAAGTGACTGCAATGAAAATCTATATATATTTATTGAACATTTTCATATAAAGTATACAAGAATACTTAAAAAACAGTAGATTTCAACCAGTTAGCTGTGAGAGAATTGGGATACTTTCACTAACGGAAGACAAAACCTAATAACAATGTCTTCATGTATTTGAATGCAATTTCCTTTAAAAATAGAAAATATTTTACTCTCTATAAGAATGAGTTATATAAAATTCCAATTAAATCTTATATAAATAATTTATTCTACATTTTCAAGAAAAGCATAAACTATGACATTTATTCCCTGCTTACTATTGCTCTCTTCCTCCCTGCCCCTCTTCCTTCTTTTGTCTTCTGAGAATCACCAGGAGGAAAGATGATCACAGAATCAGAATCATTGTTCCTGTCCCACATGACATGATTTCAAAAGGCAAGCACTTTTTCTAGTCTTAAAATTCCATGAATTTTATTAGCAGGCGATTTCCCAGATTTGATTAGCATGCAGTTTTCACAAGCTCACCTGATTATGAGGAAATAATAAAATATCTCCATATGGTAATTTGTTTGGCTTAACATCTGCTGAGTCAAAAAGGACAGCTGGGTTTTTCAGGGAGTAGCGGCCACATTAAGCGTCTGTCTCGGCCGTCTTCTGCCCTCTATTAATATGATCCTACAGAAACAACAATTTTTCAAAGGAAAACGTGATTTATTTTCCTGCTTTTCTCCCAACATCTCCAACTAAGTTATTTGAGATCCTGCTCTAATCCCATGGTCTCTTTAGTATTTAACTTGAAACAGTCTCTCCCATCTATGAAATTCTTCCTACATTCATTCTGATCCCCAATCATATTCACCCATTGTGTTTCTGTGTGGAGGCTTCTCAAGTCCCAGCATCTTTTCTTTACTACCATCTCATTAAAGATACCTATTCGTTTTTCATGAATATTTGTTTAGTACCAGGTACTAAGTTTTTGTTTACTTTTATTTTATTTGTCATAATTCACGTGATGAAGAACACTGTCTTTGTAAGAAGGGGGTAACCCTTTGGGACAAAAGAACTAAGGGTTATATTAATCTTGGTGAGAGGTTTCTAGCTCACATAAAAGAAACCTCACTGGTAGAGACAAATGAGTTGCCTTTAAAGATAAATAGGAATTGTCCAAATCAGAGAAAGAATCAACTGACTTCGGAGGGTAAAAATCACCGTGAAACATCAAAGAGAGGAAGATCCTAGAGTTGCTAATAGCTGAAGCCAAGCAGAGCCCAGACATGAATGCTGGGTAGAGATAGAGATACACCTAGGAAGGAACGGAGGATAATCTAATCCTCACCATCAACAGGACTACTCTCAGATACTCATGCTGCCATTAAGCCGAAGAATTTCCATTTATCTCTAATAAATCTGCTAACGCAAAGTATCATGTAGTAAATATTTTAGTTATTCATGGTTATTTCTAGAGTATTGGTCACATTTAAATACCTAGACCCTCAGTTCGATCTTTGTGCATATATGTGTGTGGATGATTTGTATGCATGTATGTTCATGCGTGTGGTGCACACGTGCCATGGCACACACTTAACAATCAGTATACACCTTCCATCTCATCTGGGTCTCTTGTTTGCTGTTACATATGCAGGCTAGCTGGTTGCAAGCTTCTGGGAATTCTCATGTCTCTACCTCCAATGTCATTATATGAGTGCTGGAATTGTAGAAACTTGCCACTATGGCTGGCTTTACTTGGGTTCTGGAAATATGAACTCAGGTCCTCCCATTTGTATAAGTGTTTCACTCACCGACCCTCTCCCCATGCCTGCATTTCATATTCTTGGGATGTTGCTTGGAAAGCATGCATATGTAGCATCCTCAAGTATTCAGAACAAAAATTAGAAAGTATATGTTTAATATTTTCCTCTGTATACTAAAGAAAATTTATAAATCTCATAAAGAAAGAAATAAGAATTAGGCATTGTAATAAAGACTAAGTGATTTCAAAGCAAGACAAGAAATTTACTGTATGACTCATTCCAATAAAAATTATATGCTCTGAAGCCAAGGAGGAAGAGAACACATGCTTCACTCATTTGAAGAAAACACGTAAGCTCCGTTTTGCTTACTGTCTATTTATCAAGTAAACCCATGAGTGTTGGGAGTACTCTTTTCACTAATGACTCAGAGTTAGGGAAGATGCTAGACTGAGCCTTGCAAGCAAGCCTGTAACTAAATGACCTCTGCTGTCTGAGGTAGAGTACTACTAACAACTAATGCTGGCTCAAGAAGAGAAATTGCAAAATCTCAAACACTAATGGGAAGTTTTGTTGAGTCCCTCTCAACGTTCACTACACACTACATACCAGTTCAAAATCAGTTTCGTAGTCTCTGAAGTATTTTACTAGATATCCTTCTTCCAGATGTGAGATTTCTGGTGGACACTTGGCGCTCACCATCTCTTCCACAGCTGCCTGAAACTAAATGGACAATATTACTCTTATCTCTAATCAACTTAAGATATAAGTAACTCTATTATTAGTTTGACTAATTAGCTATCAGTATATTTTCATGAGATAATTCCTATATTAGCCATAATTAGGATACTTTCATCTATAATTTTGTAAGAATTTTCAATAGGTTATTATTTTAGTGCCTATTGGTCTTATCAAGAGATTTATTTAAGGATGATTATGTCTAGTTTTTATATAATGCAGGAATTTTATTATGAAGTCTTTTAAGGAGAGCAATAAAATTTGAAATAAACAATTACCCAATTAAATATATTCCAAATAAATGATTTCCCTGATACATCAAATTATCTATAAAAATATAGTCAAATGAAATCTATTTTTCAAAAGAACAGATTAAGTTCTGACTGTAACCCAAAACTTCCAATCTTCTAAAACATTAAGTATTCTGGATTAAATAGGGATTATTATACACTACTGAGTCATAACTTTTACTTCTATGTGTCTAGCAAAACACAGAAAATGATTGTGGCTTAGGAATTAAAGGCTTAAGGCAATACATAGTATTTAATTCCCAAGCAAATAGTAATTGAAACCCACTGTACACTTTCCATGACCGGGTAATTTACAAGCATGCTTTGTTTAAAAACAGCCCCCACTCCAACACTACCCAGCACAAGAGGCCATGCTGACACAGGTCAAAGAATCACTTTCTTCTTCTTTTAGTCTTTGTAATAGCTCTTCCCCTGTTGGCTTACAATGATTGACCAAGACAGTAGCAGAATGTATTACATCTCCTGAAAGTATTATTTACATCATAAGCTTGACATTTAGATGGGTATCTTTTTAATAAAAATAACAAAATATTTAAATTTTATTATAGAGTCTTTGCTGTATCCATATCTAAAGGTCTCTTTGACCTGTTCATAATAAACACTTAGATTTGTGGTGAAGGAGAGTACTGGGGCGGGTAAGGGGCATTCATCTCCCACACAAACACGGAGGATGGCTGTGGTGGTTTTAAGATGATTTCTCAGAAAAATGGGTGATCACACTAGATGAACTTTGTGCCCACGTGAGACAAGAATAATTTATAATAAACATTTCATTAGTTAACCAAATGTTAAGTGATTGTCGCTGATGCCATGAAGCCAAGTCTTTTCTCTTTTGTGTATGGATAGCCAGTGTGAACTGTGAAAGATCGAGAAGAAACACATGGTAGAATGCTTCTAGAGCATACTTCAGCTTCCGATGACTCCGGGGCAAGGGGCTTAGAAGCAATCCCATCCCAGTTTAGTGTGAACGTCTCCAAATTGGGTTTTCCTCTGGTTTGTTCCGTGATGTCCAGTGTGACATTATTCCCTTCAAATACTTCATAACCAAGCAGATCAAAATCTCCTGCATGTGGCACCAAATAGAATTTTAAAGAGACAATTACGTCACACCCATGCCTCTAAAAGTGACATTCAACTGTAACCAAACTGATTGGATTTGGAGCTCCATTAACATAAAAGAAACAGGAATGGGAAAGATGCAGGATATCACAGTATAGTATATTTAGTCACGACAGAAAGAGCAAAATGACATTTGATCCATTTAAATACAGGTTCAGAAGAAACATAAAAAAGCAGGTTACAATCAAATCAGATGGTAAAGGTGAAGGGAGCAACTGGGCATTCAAAACATTAATTCATTGTATTTTTGATGTCAGTATATTAGTGCAAAAATCTGTTTAGTTTTGATGACTATCAATTCCAGAACACGAAGTGGATTTCCAATAACAGCTTACACTCACGGGCTTGTTCAAGGTACCACTTTGTAGCAGGCGAGGCCCTGAACTCCACTGCCTCTCTCTGTTGGGTACAGTCTTGTCATATACCCTGTTTTGATTTTGCCATTTATTTGTTAAGGTCTCTGTTGAAGTTTCAGAGTTTCTCTATGTTCTATGATACAGACGAAGCACAAGCTTACCTCTAGTTGACACAAAGGTTATTGTGTAGATAAAGGTCTGAAGATCCCTCCTGCTGGTCACTTGCACTGAATCTGGTTTTATAGACCAAAGGTCATTTAAAGCTGACTGCAACATGAAGTCAGAAGCATCAGCAGGTAGCCAGACTTTGGATGAATTAAAAAAGGAAAAATAGAAGAATTGAAATCTTCCTAGACTTTTGCAACCCAAACTGGTGTCTTGTACTTAAATTTATTCTTGGGAACATTAAAGTTATCAAGCAGAAAACTGACCTGGATAATAATGTTGACTGTTTAATTGGTTAGTAATGTCTTTGACAGTAGGGAACCATATTTTATTTTAATATTCTATAATAAATACTGAATACATTATTTGATATGTCTTAGTCAAGACAGCAAAAATAATTGTTTAGGATTATTAATTTTTAGAATTCATTAATATAGAATATGTTATTAACTGATAAATTAGTACTTTGTGTGTTAATTATAAGACAAATTCAAAGGTGTATTTATTCTCTACTATGGTAATTTTCATTTCTAGTTTCTGAACTTATACCTGAGAGTCAATGTGTATAAATATGTATATGCTTTAATAAATAAATACAATAGTATACTCCAGAAAGTTGTTTCTATTTTCTAATCTTAGCAGAAACTTTTCTTCAAAATATATTTCTTCTCCTTTCTCTAGCATGCTAGTGAAGCTATCACTTTTAAATTATCATTGTGCTAGAGCAAATTCCTTATACCTATGTTTATATGCAAAGGCAAATAATTAGTATAGCTTACCAGTCTTTTCCATGTTGTAGATGAATCTGTATTGGGAACGTGAGCATGAGTTAGTTCCCACACATGGGCTGGTGACTGCAACCTGCTGAACTTCATTTGTAGCATTAGTTGTCTCCCAGTTTTCCAAGGTTATAATCTATTTTCCAAAAAAAAATAAGAAAATTAAAATATAGATTAACTGAACTTTACATAATTGTAATTTAGCTATTCAATGTCTCTCCATTGTTATATTTTAATGAAAATGATAGTCTAAAACATGTCTAAATGAGCCTTAAGAAATGAAATCCTGGTTGTTATAATATAGGCATGTCAGGAGGAAATTCAACAACTATGTAATTATAATCCCCCAGCACACAGCGTAATAACTGAACGGAAGGGGTCCTCATACATTTACTCCTTTAAGGGATAAGGAGTGAACCCAGGGCCTCACAGATGTTATGCAAATATCCCAGTGATGATCCCCTGTACAAGACACTGGTTTTCAATAAAGTAGATATGTCATCACTGCAAACCTGTACTTCCGGGATGACTGTTGACTGAGACTTAATGACTTGTTCTTCATTTACTGCGTCTCCTGTCTGCTGTTCAGTGAAGACATTCTTATATTGGTATAGTCCAACATCAACAAAAGCACTCAGTCTATACTCTTGCAGCAAGATTTCAATGTAATATCTGGGAAATAGGGTAAGGAAGATAAATATTTTCCCCAAAACATATGTCATGAGATTTTTTTTAAATGAATAAAACCAGTAACACAGAAGTTATTAAATTATAATAACGTATAAATGTACAATTAATACAAGTTTTTTTTTAGCAGTCTGTTAAACAAAATTAATTCTAGAATATACAAACATTTTTAAAAAGTTTTCCTGATTCAGGATAGTTAATAAATATTTACTAGAGAAGACAACAGCCTCAACCTTGTGGGGCTGGCACAAAGGTTCAGACCGTGATAATTTTCTGGGACACAACACTGCAGGAGAAGGAAGTTAATGTAGAAGCTTAGGTTTCAGAGAAAACAGCCGTTCTGGTTACATTTATCATACTTCTGTAGCTCACAAAACTGTGGAAAGTAAACAGTTACAATTACAGCTACGGGACACTGGACCTGGGGCTTTGTACACGCTTGGCGAGTTTGTACAATTAGCAGTGCCCTCGGCCTTTGGGAATGACTAACTCTCTACTTAAGTCAATAGACCATTGTGCACACCAGTTAAAACAAATCAAACTGTATTAAAATATTAGGTTACATTTCTAAATTCCATACAAGAACTTAAATACAAGAAAAATACCCTTACGCTTTTCCTTTCTGAAGATGAATCTCGTCTGATTTTTGTGTTGAACTTGAAAAATAACTGTTGGCATTGGCTGAGTGATATGCAATCTTCACCTTATCCAAGAAAGAGAGAAGAATTTTAACACAAATCTTTTCTACAATTAATTTTAATTTATCACTTCTTTATTTTAAAAAAAATTATCAACGGGAAAATGTGAAAATCCACCTTTTTCTTCTAAGATCTGTTATCCATAGCAACATTTACTTAAAAATAGCAAATCTTTACTTATTTCATCCTTTACTGATTCCAATGTCACTACCCAAATCTACCACATAGTTCTAGTCTTTCTAATAATAGAACTGCAATAGAAAATAGCAGAAATACAAACTAGGGATAGAGCTGTTATTATTATTTAATGGACTTTTGTTATGAAAAAACTCTTAAAGATTTGATCTAAATTACTTAATTGTATGTATACTTGAAAGTTACCCAAGCCAGCTAAATACATAGGAGGGCGAGAGGACTTTATGCTTCTTACTAAGAATGACTACGTCATCTTTGGCTAACGGTGTGGACAAGTTATAGAGCATTAGAATTTATAGGCTGCAAATAACAACCTAGGCCTACGTAGTCAGTATAAGAAAACATTTTGTCAAATAAATTGAGTACTGAAGTGTGATTTTAAATTTTGATTTATTATTTTCACATTCTTAAAACTCTCTTAAGAGACTCGTTCACAACGTTAAAACTTCAAATAAATAGTTTTTAATATATTTACTAATTTCAATTAAAATATGTGAAACACATTAAAGAATTTTTAATAGTGTTTTCATGCCATCCATTAACATATTGCAGGTCCCCTACCTTATCCTCTGGGTGTCCGGTCTGGCTGAAATAAATAGCATAGCGGTCATCACCTTTGATATAAAATCTATAAACATCAGAATCTGGAGGCACCAAAAATCCACTGATACGTGCAACAAATGTATCTTGATCCATGGGCCAAACATAGGAAGCAGAATCTATCCAACTGGCACCCAGGTACCCGGGGGTACGTTCACTGTATTCAAGAATCTCTTCAAGATGTACTGGCCGGCTATTATTCCAAACCTCCATCTTTAGGCCTCTTCCACCTAAATATAGTGCAATAAATGAAATTGTTCACCAGGATGAGGTTGCTATATCTTGATGACCTATTAGGTGGTAGTTACTGAGGTCCTGTGTCAGCTGCATTTTCAGAGCATGTGTGTAAACAGTTGCACACACCCTACACGTGCTGATCCTAGAGACAGAGCACTTGCTCTTAGACTCGTCCACTCTTTAATTACTGTGACTTGATCTCCCTGAGTTGACATTTCCATCCACACTGCACATGGAAATATAATGTGATTGATATGCATTTTAATCATTTTATACCTAGTTACTCTTTAGGTAAGATGATAACACGTGGCTATACTATGTTGTTCAACTGTATGACTGGTGTTTCACATAGCAAAGTCCCAATGCTCCAAAATTCAAACCATGTTATTATTAAAAATAAACAAACAAACTTGTCTTGATCATTTTCTCTAATAAAAGTTAGTCAATAACCGGCACACAAAGCATGTAGCAAAAAGACAGATATTGGTGTTTTAATATTTGTCTCAGTTGCTGCTTTTCCAAACATCGATCCTGTTCTAAGATGTCACCTGCTTCTAGATTAGGTGTATCTCCACTTGTAGGATAAACTGTGACGTGTCATCTGCTTCTTAGCTAAGAACCACAGAGGGAAAGTTCTCAGGTAGGTGTGACTATACACGTGAGGCAAACATGTGGACTCATCTCTTCTCAATCAGAAAGGAATGGTCAAATGCTTGTTCCTGAAAATGTAGCACCCTGAGGCCAGCGCCTTCCTCAGCAGCCTTTTGTTTGTGTGCATCTGAAAAATAGTAGCTAATGCTCTTCACCTGCACTTGCTGAGGAAAAACTTGAGCAGATTAAAGCCAGGCTTTTATGGTGTCGGTGGCCATTGATAGACAACTTCCTCTGAATCAGCAATCGTTAATATCAACATTATTTTGTAAATTGAGAATGCTTTCCTGAAAGCAATTTGGAGGTTGCAAACGATAATTTGTTATACTACAAACACCAATGGCATGAGAAAGAAGAGATTTCACTGCTTTCAAAAGATAAGCAGCTGCTGCTGCACACAGATTTTCCAAGATGCAGGAGGCAGGAGCAGGGTGGCCAGACATGCATGCTATTTCAAGGGGCCAGAATGAGGAAGTGTGGAAAAACTCGGAGTGGTCTTTCCTCTGCTTTTATGCCCAGATCATTCTAAACCAGTAAGATTTAATCTCCCACAGTTAGGCTTTTAGCACAGAAAGCTAATCATTTTATCATTTAATCATTTTGGAAAAAGCATTATTTTTAGGATTATATTTGCAAGATTTAAACCTTTTCTTCCTCAAAACCCTCCCGTACACTCTTCCCCACTCTTCTTCAAATTCATGGCCTCTTTTTTCTTAATTGTTTTTAATAATTCCTTAATATATTGCATATATCTTAATATATAGGTTTATATATATATTTAATATATATTCCTAATTCCTAATATTTCCTAAATAGACTCTGCTAAGATTTCACACAGTTACTTGTCAGCATGTTTTCAGGGATGACCACTTAGCCTTGGATGACTATTTTATCTGTTCTTCCCTGGTGAAGACAGTTTAGCCCAGTATCAGCATTCCTTAGCTGCCTGTAGCTCTTTGTGTACGATTGAAGCCTCATAGGCTGTTAAGAATTTCACTTTGGCTGGGCGGTGGTGGCGCACGCCTTTAATCTGGGGAGGCAGAGGCAGGCGGATCTCTAAGAGTTCGAGGCTAGACTGGTCTACAAGAGCTAGTTCCAGGACAGGCTCCAAAGCTACAGAGAAACCCTGTCTCGAAAAACAAATAAAAAAAAAAGAATTTCACTTTGAGCCACAGTGTGATTTAAAGAATTAAACCATTTTATTTTTTTTTCAATAAGGTCACACTTTATTACATCAAGGTGTTAGAATTTAGGTTACAGCTTTGATGCAACTATTTTAATAAAAACATTCTCAGGGTTGCAGAGATAGCTCAGTTGACAGTGGCTGCTAAAAAAAAATCTATGAACTCAGACAATGTAAACTGGAAAGCTTTTGGAAAATTTATTAAAATTCCTAAAATTTCAACTAATATTCTTACTACAAGAATATACGTCATTAATAATTTTTCCTGCAAACACAGAAATTGACATTCTAACTTATGACAACTTACCTGGATAGAGTGTTTTGAGGCTTGTAGGTTTGGGAGGAGTCTTGCAATGTATACTATTTTCTGTGACATTCAAAATATCACAGGCTTGACCTATAGAGAAGTAAAATATAAAATACAAACAGGCTTTCGAATGTAAATCACACCAGCCTATCTTGAAATGCTGTGAAATTTTTATTAGATTTATTAATTTTATTTTATGTTCATTTAGCTTGCTCACCACATGCATGCTTCATGCCTGGGAAGGTCAGAAAAGGGCATTGGATTCCCTCGAACTAGAGTTAGGCATGGTTGTGAACCACAGTGTGGGTGGCGAAAATTGAACCCAAGTCGATCCACTGTGAGAGCATTAAATGCTCTTAACCCCTGAAACATCTCTCCAGCCCTTGAATTTTTTTTTTTTTAATTGTGTGGCTTGGGCAGTTTGTGGGGCCACTGGCAGTGGGACCAGTCTTTATCCCTAGAACATGATCTGGCTTTTTGGAACCCATTCCCTATGAAGGGATACCTTGCTCAGCCTAGACACTGGGGGAACGGGGGCTTGGTCTTGCCTCAAGTGATGCTACAGACTTTGATGACTCCCATGGGAGTCATCCCAGCCTCGGTCTCCATCTTTGGAGGTCCTTCCCCTGTGCCCACCAAACATTGACGCCTCTCCAGAAAAGGTCAAAACCACTCCCACAGGCTATTTAAACTGCTCCCCAGAAAATAAACACTTGGTTGTCCCTTTTCCTCTCCGGTTGGCAGCTTCCTGTTTTCCTCGGGGCCACCCCGGAGCTCAGGTGTCTAATTAAACCTGGATATCTTTTAATCTGGTCTGATTTGGCTTGATTGGGATTATTTTGTGTCCATGGAGTGGCTCGGTTAGGAAATATTCCTAACAGATAACAATAATGAAAAGGCAAAGTTCCATACAAATTCCTAAAGAACAGGAAGGATTTGATTTTATAAAGTAGTAATACATAAAATACCTCCAATTAGAACTCTCACTGGGAGATCGGTCTGATCAAAGAACCGCCCGTGGATCGTCAGAACGGCGCCTCCTTGAGTGCCGCCTTTTGAAGGGGAGATTGTTGTGACCTCTGAGGAAGGAAGGCACGTTATGCAAAATGTCGTAAATGTCACACACAAATCCAATCTGCTTCCTTTTACCAAGATTTCCACATATCTTAGTCACCATCCCTAACACAAGTGAGCTAGAGAGCACGTAAGGTGGATTGCCAGGGAGTGAATTCAGGCTTTGACCCTTGCGGTCCAGCAAAGACGCTGAGAACACAACTTTCATAGAGTCTCTGACAGGTGTGGGTAGTGATTGGTGCTAAAAAGCCCTCAAAAGAAAGTAGAGCAGACATGAGCTGAGCACAACCAATTCCCAAAGAAAACAGGCAGAATTAAGGTAGAAGCAGCCCTCTTCCTGCAGGATTTTGAAGAGCACACGTCTATAGAGCAACACCTTGGTTTTGGCAGGGTGATATATAACCCTGGAGGGCTTAGTACTGGGTGTGTTGCCAAGGTTGACCTTGAGTTTACTCGAAAGCTTCTGCCACAGCCTCCTGAGCGCCAGAATCCCAGAATCATGGGCAGGAGCTGTATTTGGCTTTGAACTGACATCTGATATTTTCTCAAAAAAAAAAAAAAATGCATTTAACTATGGGTTTTTTTTTTTTTGTACAGAAAAGGTTTAATATAATTAAATCAGCCCAGTCCATCCAGTCCAAGACATACGGTAAATCATTACTAATTGATTTCATAATTTTTTTCTTTTATTTACATATAATATGTAACATTTAACATGATCTCATAAATAGGTGTGAGTCTTCTAAAGTAACCTCAGTCTCAGATTATCATTATATATAATGATTCAATATATTGCTATTGCATGTGAATTTTTCAGTAAATAAATTTGAACACAAGTCAAGATTTCCCACAGTCAATTGATATGAGCAGTCACACTATTCTCCCATTTTTAAATAATTTGTTTATTTTTATTTTATACACATTGGTGTTTTGCCTGCAAGTATGTATGCGGGAACCAGTTTCCCTGGAACTGGATTACATAGACAGCTGTGAGCTGTCATGTGGGTGCTGAGAACTGAACCTGGGTTCTCTCGAAGAGCAGCCAGTGCTCTTAACCGCAGAGTCATCATCTCCCCAGCCCCAGAACCCGCCACATTTTTAGTGCCCTTGGAATCTTAGCCTGTCCTTCTGTTAGCCCTGATCTGGGAAGGAGGACAGGTCTTCCAGCAAATTGATACTTGCTTTTGATACTCTCCTGGGAGTAGTTTAACCTGGAGTAGTTACTTCAAAATAATTCAATATAATTAAAGTCTGGTAAGGGATTTTTGGGGGCTCACACTGAGAGCACAAACCCGACAATACTGGCATGTGGTTGACACTGAGAGGTTTTTTATCTTTAACTCAACAACTAAAGTCGAGCTGGCCTGATTCAGTGCTCTGCCTGCTGGGGCAGCGAGTCTATTTCTCAACCTTACACTATGCATAGCTCTGAGGGGTTCTAGCTCCCTGTCACGCCTTCAATCACATGCCCCATTATGGGTACTTTTCGTTTCCTAGCAGGACATACACTAATATACACTTTACTGGCGTGACTACACCTGGTTGAGGGATCCGAAGGGTACGACACCTCTCTCACACAGAACGGGGGGATATGTCACATACCTGCATATGTCTGAAACATTGAAATTTTATTGAGAGATGAAACAAAATATGTCATTTTCTCTGGGAAACTCCTGTTGGAAAAAAAAAGCAGTTTTTTGTTTTAAAAATCACCTATGTTGATGGATTTTGTCACTCAAATTGGTTGCTACAATGACAGAAATTAAGGCATGACCCGCAGGGGAGCAAGGTAGAACCGCTAAAGGAAACAGTTGAACGGGCCACATCCTCATACACTTGCCGGTTCTGCATGTATGTAGATCTCTGAGGACTTAATAAATTGCATCTGCTAAATATTTAATAAAACTCACTTTAGAAATTTTTTTTTGCAAAAGGATTAAAACAGAACCCAGCAGGAAGATTCTGTTTTGTGTAGATGAGCTGTTCCTCTTGCCACCCACCCTGTCCCTTTGCCTAGCGTCTCCCAAGGGTCCAAGGACCCTGAGCTGAGAGGGCTCAGTTTATTGTGTCAACTGATCTTCACACGTGACGGAGATAAACATCAAAGAATTAATTTAGTCAAGAATACAAAGCCAGTAAGTGGCAGAAGCAGAACCACAGCCCAGGCCCCTTGTATCCAGTGCCCACCTCCTAACTATACACTACACAGTACCCCTAGCCAGCCCACTATTTGTGCGTTAATAAAAATGGTGAAAGCAAGGTTTATTCACGAGGTTTAAATCAGCCTTCAAAAACACAGGCTCTAATATTTGTATATATTTTTATAGACAGTTATAATTCCGTAACCTAGAATACTGAAAAAAACCAGAATTCTGAAAATCCACTGAACTAGTCTCTTGGATATGCGAGTCTTGTGGACAATCTCACCCAGGTTTTACAATGTGCACTTTTAACACTAAAGAGTCTAGGAAAATACTTTATGCTAAATTTGTTGCTTAAGGAGACCATCTTAATTTGTCCGTTTTCATATCATAAGCTTCCCAGTCGATTCCCCTGATCTGAAACCATGCCAGCATCAATAACACTGTGTCTGGCCAGACGATGCATCTCAAAAATTAATGCTGCTTCTGAAGTTAACAGGAAAATTGCCTCCTGAAATAAAATTTGAATGTAATTTATTGTGGATGACACTGGGGTGATTTCCACTAATTTATTGATAATGACTAGGCATTTCTCAATTAAGACGGTCTCATCTGAACCTTATCAGTTTGGAACAGCTGTTGTTTGAACTTGGGGAAACGGAGCATCAAAGGTTGGGCATTCCCAAGAAATGCAGACTGTGTGCAAATGTGGTCTTTGATTGTTTCATTTTATATGCAAGGGTGCTCTTAAAGCTTATAACATGTGAATTTTATAACTTACAAAATTTTATAAGTTATAAAATGATTTAACACTTTTTAAAAATACCCCGCAATTTTAAACCATGGATTTCTATGTGGTAAATTTCATATTTTAATAGTTATTTTTAATTCCTGACTATTTTATATAGAAACATACTTTCCTAAATAATATGTCATTAATGTAAAATTATCAGACATAGGCTTTCTTTCTTCCTTTCTCTCTTTCTTTCTCTTTCTTTCTTTCTTTCTTTCTTTCTTTCTTTCTTTCTTTCTTTCTTTCTTTCGTTGTTTTGAGACAGGGCCGTGTTTTGTAGCCCTGGTTGCCTGGTATTCCTGTAGCCTGTGGTGTCCTTGAACTTTGGATAAATCTCTTGTCTCAACCTCTCAAGCACTGAGTTTGCAGATGCACACCACTATGCCCAGCTAGTCATTAGCTTTAAAAAGACTGAAAATGAAATTAGAAATCAAGACCACAGAATTAACAGGGAAATGGAGCATCCTTGCTAATATTATGTGTGAATTTGCAAGCTTTACAAATTATTTTTTGAAACTGGGTTTCACTTTTTAACCCAGATGAGACTGAAATTCATTATGTAGCCCAGATGGGTCTCAAACTTATCACAATCCTCCTGTCTCGGTTTCTTGAGTGTTTTCCTGTTCAGCCTTTGCTGGATTTTTAGATGGGGTCTGAGTCTGTTGTTGCAGCAGATTGATTTATGTAAGTTGCACAGTAATATTCAGCCTTGATCACTCAAACCATTTACTTTAGGGTAATTACTTCTCTGAGAGATGTATGATGGATTTGGCAATTAACACTTTTTATATAGACTCAGAAGCAAATTCATTTTATTTCATCTTAGAAAGAATGAAACCGAGAACCTAAAAGAACTCTATGTTGTCCTAGGAAGAATTTAAAACCCAGTAATGGTGGGTCCTGACACTGTTTTATAAACCCTTTGGTAAAATTCTACTGCCTGATTTACAAGTTCTTTGCACATGGGTCTGTTCTTACAGAAAACAGCTTTTAAGTCACATTGAACTCGAAGTTATTTGCCTTGAATAGTTTTCAAAGGTGTTTTCTAATACACTAAGCTTCTTATTTCTATTCCAATCCACATTGATCTACAATAAAGCATCCAGCTTGGGCATGATTTTGTTATAAAATATTTGTTTCTATGTGTTTAGAGCTAACTGATCTCTAAATACAATGATAATTGACCTTGACCAAATTGTAATTGCAGTTCCATGCAGGGAGGAACAAACTCTGAATCCCTCCTTCAGCCTGGGACACTCAGGAGAATGACACCATTTACTTGTATTGAACCGCTGTCAATCATTTCACACTTTTAATCACTGAGCCCTTTAATCACAAAAAGAAATCAATAGGCCTATCTATTATTGATACACTACCTTTGTATTAGTAAAGAGTATTACTCATTTGGAAGTCTGTCAACTGGCTCGTCCTGTCAATGACACTTTGACATTTGGGTCACGACAACTCATTTCAGTTTGATCATCAGGGTCCTGCCCACAAGAGTCCTTAGCACACACGGTTTTACCGACAGTCAGTAAATGCTGCCCCTACACACATCTTCAAACGCTCCCAAGAGTGCAGTAGTCCTGCTCAGAAAGACTTCTGTGTCAGAAACTTATATAACGATGAGATGTGGTACTGAAGGCAGAACCCGCAGTCAGTCATGGCAGAGCGCTGAGACCATGTGCCCAGGGCATGGATTTAGACAGCATGCACTGGCTGGTTCTGCTCACAAGACATTTCTGATGAACTATTTAATATTCATCTCATTTTTTTCCCAGTGGGAAACAGGATGGATAATAGCTTGTTTTGTAGGTTCTCCGGAAGACGAATCTAGATAGCATAGGAACCATGTCTAACACCACGCCTGCACTGTATCACATGAGCAACAACAAGGAGAGATGCACAGACTTACTTTTCTATAAATACATGAAAGTACTTTACTGAAATACGTGAATAGGAAATTTGGAAATAAATTCTGGTTAGACATAGCTGTGTCTTATTAGTAGTGATACTAAGACACAGTCTTGAAAACTGTTATCACCTTTGCAACGTTCTGAGCACGGATATATCAAAGGAAAATATGAGGTAACACTAATCATGAGGTTTTATTTATTCTTACATTAATTCAAAACAAATTTTTTTCTGAAAAGAATTACAATTAAAACATACGAGGAATAAGACATAAAATAGCACTTTTTCCATATCATGTTTATAAGCGAGAGTCCCAGTAATAGAAAGAGCTTTTTGTGAGTTGAAAGTTATAAGAGAACAAGAGTTACAGACTCTTTGAATGTAAATTTTTTTTGTGAGGAAAACGATTAATCCTTTAATCACTGCATCAACAGAGCAAAGTAAATATATACTTTATTTAACCCATTTGAATAAATTATGAAAATTATTATTTACAAAATGGCCTACCTTCCGTAATCACTATCTAAGATGAAGCTGACATTGTGATGACCTGAAATTAATTAAAATACACAATCAATTAAATTCTCAATCAGAAAAGAACAATAACTCTACATTAAAAGGATGATTAAGGTTTAGAGAAATTTATATAAAAAAATACTTGACCTATAAAGCCTTAATGAGGCGAAAACAAACTATTTTTAAAGTATGTATAATATAAAAACATATAAGTGGGTATTTTGAGGTTATAACTGGAAAATCTGACAAAATATGATTACATATGATGAATGATAAAAGATGTACATGTGTACTGCCCTGCAGTCCTTTCATTCATTCAAAAGTTTTTGAATCCTTTAATCCCAGCACTCGTGAGGCAGAGGCAGGTGGATCTCTGTGAGTTCGAGACCAGCCTGGTCTATAGAGCTAGTTCCAGGACAGGCTCCAAAAGCCACAGAGAAACCCTGTCTCGAAAAAAAAAAAAGTTTTTGAATCATTAAGAGCTTTGGGCAGCAGGAGCAGACACAGCGAAACAGAATCCATGTCCTTCTAGCACGGCATATCATCTCGGTCAAGAGCAACAGCACCGAGAGCTATCTATTGGGATAAGGTTATCAAAGAAAAGGAAAGCGAGGTTTGAGGATGGAAAACAGAACTCCGAGAAAGAGTTCCTGGCCAACAATTTTATCTGAAATGTTCAGGCTTGAATGTTTACGCAGGATCTGAGACAGAAGGGAGGAAGCTTGCTCACAAATTAAAAGCCATGCAATGGGAGCTGGAGGGAGTCAGGAGAGGGCCGAATATGGCAAAGTACATTATAGACAAGTATGAAATGTCTCCATGACGCGCTTATGTGTAACTAATGTGTGCCAATAAAATCTTAAAGAACTAAAAGATCTGTATATTTGGAGTATACATTCTGAGAGGAAAAAAATAGATTCTAAATTAAAGACTCAATACAGCAGCAGAATTAGTCATGTATCCTCTGAGGGAAGAAAGGAGTAAAAGAAGAAGACAAAAATCACATTATATGTAAACTTTAGAAAAAACCCAAGTGATAGATTTGAGGGGAAAATAACCCAGGGAATGTCGTAGAGAAAATAAACCAGGGAAGAGCCAGGCTTGGCAAGAGGAAGGCTAACACTTACCAATGTAAGTCCCTGTTGTCTTACATATCACAGACCCTGTATCTCCACTGGGATGATCGAGTTTTAGACCATACCTAGCAAAGTAAGTATGTTCACATTAAGGCTCTTATTGACTATTTAGATACTGTTATTTCCTAAAAACATCTCTTTATATCACAGTACGTATATTGCTGCTATTGCTGCAATAACATTTCAGCAAAATGAATCATTTCTCAGACTTTATTGGAGATATTTCAATCAAATACATTTATCGCTGAAATAGCTTATGATTAATTGTGGTATTTTTGTTAATGTTACTTTTAAGGCATTTCAAATGCTATATATCAAGTGCAACAATGATGTCATGAAGTTATTTCTTAGTAGAAATAAGAACCTAAATAGTATGTTACATTAGTGACATATATCTGTGTATAAGGAAAAAGCCAGTTATAAATGAATACTAATTTATTACATAAAAGGTAATTATTACAACCCATATAGCTATGCATTATTGCTAATAATTACTACTTAAAAGTATTATATTTATATGGATTTTTATTTTAAAAATTACTTTAATTACTTACAAATCATCAGAATGTGGCAGAAGGAGTTCACATGGCATTCCTCCAATATAGGTTCTGTACAAATATTTTGCATTAGAAAAAAAATCAAGTCAAATTTAATAAATTTAAAATTCTACTCTTTTTACTAAAATCAATAGCTACCTTATTTTTTCCTCGGTTGCTTATTTTTCATTGCTCACTCCTTAAACATCTATTCATCATCCCTATGTGTCAGTTCTTTCTCTTGGCACGAAGACAAATCTGTGAATGTGAGATTTCTCTATGCTTTTGTGACAGATGATTTTCTGGGAAAAATCACTAAATATAGTAATCATAACACTTTTGGTATAATTTAAGTGTAAAACAAAATAGGGACTTCTCCAATGAAAGTTTAATCAAGTCAAATAAGATGTATTTTTGTAAGTTTAAGATGTAGAAATCGAACATCAGAATACCCTATGTCATCACCAAATGATTTTGGAGGCTCACAGTTGACAAGGGTCTTGCTATATCAGAATTGATGGTTTGTAGCATCAGAACTTGTCACCCAGCTTGTGTGAACTGAATCCCAAGCTGCTCAGAGATGTGAACTATAAGTATTGATGACTTCTATTAGAAGGAAACACTGATATTTTAAATGGACTTTTGTACACAGTCCTTTTTTTTTATTTTCTTAAATCAAAATATAATTACATAAATTTCTCCATTCTCTTTTCTCCCTCAGGCCCCTTCTATGTCCCTATTCTTCCTGCTTCCTTCCAAGTTTATGACAACTTTGTTATTGTCTCTCTCTCACACACATGAATATGTATGTTTTATTTAAACTTTACATTAGGCTTCTTAAATAAAAATAAAAAAAATATTATTCCCATTGGAGAGCTCTGTCAAGTCAAATTCTCCTTTTAACCTTCTGTTTTATTCCAACTAAATAATAAATTTATCAGCTAACATAGGCTCTGATTAGACAGATTTAACCATTGTGATCATGCTATAATTTAATACTTATCATCCTCCTATTTTCTTCCACTTGCTGATGAAGACACCGAGACAGAGATGTGAAATAGCTTGTCCACATCTAGCTAGTAAGGGATACAGTAAGGATTCGAGTCACGTGTTTTGTGTTCTCATATGTGCTAACTCCCCTGGACAGAAAAAGTATATGTCTAAAATAGCAGGGCTGGAGAGTTTGCTCAGAGGTTAAGAGCATTGCCTGCTCTTCCAAAGGTCCTGATTTCAATTCCCGGCAACCACATGGTGGCTCACACGTGACAGCAAAGGTCTCCAGTCCAAAAGGGGGTAGCAGTTTTCGGACTAGCCAGTGCTATCTCATCCGGCCAAGAGTTGATAAACAGAGCAACCAGGACTAAAGCTCTAGCTGCTCATGAGCTGTTGACTATGCCTACTTCCTATACTCTCCCCTGTATCAAAGTGTGGTAGAAAAATGTAGATTGTGTTAGAAGCCTTGGATTCTACTACTGATCTTGACCGAGCTATCCATTTCAGGCCTTAGGTATGTTCACAAATGTAAAATGTGGCTGGATAAGGAATAAGGTTCTCTATTAATGAAGTTCTGAGGCTATCCTGTAATTATTATTGACTTTGCCTTCAGAGAGAAAGGAAGTCATATCAGACCAGAAAAGAAGGAATCAACTGTAGTCTGGTTCTCTTTCTCTAGGACTGAAATTCTGACTAGTTCCATCTAGTTGTAGTTGGCTTTTATACCACCAAGACTCTAGTACATTTAGGATATCCTGTCTCATCTGTAAGTTATAGGACTATTGCAATATTTCCATAATAAAAGATTACCTCAAAATCCTAACATTTCTTCCATTTGAGCTCAGTGCAATATTACTGCCATAGACATCCGTGAAGAGCCGGCCTTGAATAGTTATTAACGTTCCTAAAATCAACACAAAACAAGACAAATCCTCAAATTGATTCTGGTTGAGAGTACCTGTCTGTACATTTCATTCCAAAACATTATAGATTTTCCCAATAAAACAGAATCGAGACATCTATATTTATTTCTCAACACTATTTTCAGCATTGCTTTAAAGTAGCTAAAAATACAATAAAACATGAGAACATGGCTAAGGAGTCCTAGATTAATGCGCTATAAAATGAACAACAGGATGAATTCTTTAGTAAATATTAGTTGAGTCAATATTTAGCTTGCTTGAAAAGAAAAAAGTTCCACATTACTCCAAATGTTAAAAATGTAACTTAGATAAAAACAATATAAAAATGAAATTAAAAAATCCTGAAAACTAGGTGGAAATTTTATGTCCTATTATATAATCAGGATGCAATGGTCTTCCCCAGGAAGGGGAAAAAAGATATTAAAATCTATAGACTTAATGAAGAAAATTACTTCACAGAAAAACTATTAATGTAGAAATATGCTGGGATTAAAGGCATGAGCCACCACTGCCCGGCTTAATCAAACTTTTTGAAACTGTCACTATGTATCAGCTAAGTCCTGCCTTTATCTCTAGAGTTATAGGTATATGCAACCTGTACCTGCCACAAAATTCTTGACAACAATTAGGACTTCCATTAGTCCAGGCTGAAGAAAAGCGCATTCTCACATATTTCTACAAGATTATAAACTGATAAGATCACATTATCAAAAGAACACTAGATACTAGCTCAATCTCTGACAAAGAAAACACATTATTAGTGACTAAGATTCAACCTTTGAACATAATTTTAAATTAGCCATTATTATAATCAGAAAAATAATATGTATAAATTAACTATACTTTTGTATGCTAAAAATAAATCAATTGCCACAAGTCCCAACACGGTTCAGTTGCCATTGAACAGACCTGGAGTCCCAGATAAAGGTGTGATGCTTCTTATTGTTGGGGTTCTAAAACCTTTTGCCTGTAAAATATTAATAGCCATGTCAGCTAGCATTCTTACCTCTATTTTGATCCTAATTTCACAATTCTGTTTTCTGTATCAGTTTTATTTCAACATTACCCATAATCTGACTGTCAAAATAGTTTTTCATATAGAAAATAAAGTTTGGGACATTTTCTGCTTTTTTTCAAGATTTTTTCTTTATCCTCTAAAAATTGACTGGAATTTCATAATATTTGTAGTCTGGGATTTAAAAAGTCAATCATGCCTTTGTAAACAGTATAAGCGAAACCACAGCAATAATCCTCCAGTAAAGTCTTTCAGGAGTGGATAAAATACATTTTTAAGATTTACTTCTAAAGAAAAATAAGAAACAAAGTATATTTCGAAACATCAAAATGAAACATAGAAAGATTTCAGCAAGGCTAAGTCACCATGCAACACTGATATAATTCTTAAGAATGACAGGGAGGTCATCAGTATGACATAAACTCCAGTCCCTGGGACAACAGCCCCCAAAGGCGCCTGCGTTCCAGTCTGTGAGTCCATTGGGATATACACAGATGGCTAAGTGGACTGAAGTTTGCTAAGTAGCTGGCCTTGAAATGACGTTGGAAGCAAAGTGAGAGAGATGTAAGGAAGCATTAGACCACCTTTGCTGGTTTTGAGACAGTGGGAGACAGGAGCTAAGGGATGTGGACAGCATACAGGAGCAAGAAAAGTCAAGGAAATGTGTTCTCCCTCTAGTCTCTGGAAAGAATGCCGCCCCTCAAGGCACCTTGCCAACTTAGACACACTGGACTTCTGATCTACAGAAACAAATACTTAATGTTTCAGACATGCTTGAGTACATACATGAAGGGGAAAGAGTCAATGGTCCAAACTGATATTTAAGCTCAACCATTTTTCTGTGCATCAACTTGGTAGAGATAACAATATGAGCATCCCAAAGTGAGATTGTTATATAAACAAAAAGTTTATAATCACTAAATACTTAGAACACAGCCAGACATACAGTAAATGATACATTGATTATTTTGAATAATTACATTGAATTGTATTGTTTAATATATTATTAATCAAATAAACATGCCCATTTCTTTTTGCAAAGCAAAATCAGTGATGGCTAATGAAAAAGACAAATACTAGTGTGCAAAAAAGTTAATATTGATTATATAAAGAGCAGAGCTAAAGGACAGATTGGTCATCCTAATCTGATGAGATATCTCGGTATTCAACAATAAACAACTTGAAACCTAAGTGGAATTTTAAAGAATGTATAAGACAATAATTGAAGAAACATATTTTCCTAAATGTCATTATTTATAAAAACCTGAACTGGAGGGGCGAATATGTTCCTTTAGGCTCATTACATTGGCAATTATATAGAAGGAAGACTAGTTAACATTATTATTTAAAATGGGGGGAGGATTCCCTTAAAAGAAGAAAGGAGAAAATCAAACCAAGAGCAGAATTTAGAATGAGGGGAATAAATGATCAGCAGGAAAATGAGTTGAGGATGTGAGCATTTTATTCATTGATAAACGTTGTGTTAAGGAGGCAGAAAAGAATGAGGTAAATGAGGTTAAGTTACCATGGAAGTCAATTAAAATGGAAAATTACATTTCGCTACTTGTTAATATATCTGTTAATGTGGAAATGGAAAACAAGCTATAAAAACTAAAAAAGGTTCGGTTTTGTGAGAAAGAAAGGAGCTCAATTATCAGCGATGAAATGATCCCACATACACTGAAGCTGCAGGCTCGGCTGCTGGCCAGTCCTCTGCAGGTGTTGTTTTCTGCAATGGGCACCCCATCCACACTGACTCTGACGGTGTAGGTATCTTCTGGCATTGCTCTGGGAAAGACGTGAAGAACACACGAGACACACAGTGACTGCTCCCAGCATATAGTAATAATGAGAAATACTGCTTTAGTTGTCTTCATGGTTAATCAAGCTTCAGATCCTCAGTGATCTACTACTAAGTTCCACTTTTATATTATAAAAAGCATTCTTTCTAAATCACCCTATGTTGCAAATTACAATACCATATAACGAATGTTTATTGTGGGTACGCATGTGGGTTTGTGTTAAAAGGTAAAATAAATGGTATCACATCCAGCAATAATAATCATGTTAAGTGTGCCATCTTGGTAGACTCAGTGACTCTGTACTACGCATTTCAAAAGCTGTTACCAAGGTCTCTCTTAAAAGTTTCCACAGCCCCCATACCGTCAGCAAGCCTAATGCAGACAACATCCTTCTGAACATGTGTTTGAGTCAGTACTAGAAGTCGCATTTTAAAATGATTTAATGCTCCACTAAATTATTAATAATGCTGATCGATTGGAGGTGCTAGCAAGGAACTTGAAATGTCACTACACGAAATTATCACCTTTAATTGTAGTAAATATATGAATATTTGAATAAGGTCAGTTAACCTACGAATAGCAGCCACTCACGTTCTAGAAGAGTCCAGGAATGATAAAATATGATAGTGCCAACAACAGCAGAATGAGCGCAGGGTATATATTTATAATGTCATCGTGTATAAAGAGCATTACAATTGACCATAATAAGGGTATAAACTAATATCAGCATCATGAAATCAAATATAACGACTGCTAACTATTAACTATTACCTGTAATAGGCAGAGTGACCAAACTGCTAAAACACCAATCTACATAACTGCATTTCTGACATGATGAAAATAATGCTATTAAAGGCATGTTTAAACGGACCTAGTATAGCATGTAATTTGAGTTGAGTGGCTTGAATCTTTCTCCACATCACAAGTAATTGACTGGAAAGACGAAACTAATTGCACATGGTTTCCCAATTCAGTACTGTCGGCTCCATAGTTGAACTGATTTGCTTGAGAAAAGCCTGCAAGAGTAATGAAACCATTATTAATGACATTCTATTTCTTGAGCTCTAACAGTCATAACCCAATATTGAACCATTCTTAATGTAATAATGAACAGTGCTGAAGGAAGAAGTTAAATTCATTTCATACTTATCCCCATATTAATACTCTGGGAGCATAAGTATTGGTCTTGAATTAACTTATTCATGAACATTTTTGTTCGATACACATAAGGTCACAGTTATCCTTAGATACGGGAGCCAAAAGATATGCCCTCCCCCAAATACCATAAATTCCAGATACACTCCTTCCCGTTATGATGAAGCAAAACATCATTACTTCTCTGTGATAAGCAGAATGAATTATCTCAGTCATGAACTCAGAATGCTTGATGACATCAAGCTAATGAGTAGTACTGGCTCTTTCCATGCAGTTAAGGTCAAAGCCTATGCTGTAATCCCTAAGAGAAGCTTTTCTTACCTAGGAACTTGGACAACCAGTTCAAGTCCAGCATAACCTAAGATTTCTCTGCTACTGACAGAAAAGGCATTTAGTGATTGGTGAAAAACAATGCCTCTTCTCCCCCCCCCCCCCCCATGTACAGCCTTCATCACAGGGCTGTTCTTAGAGAAGCTAGTGTCTTGAGTCACGGAATCAGCCTGCATGTTCCATTCCCCTGTGAGGACGCCCCCTTATGGGAGTTAGTGTGAGACATAGATTTGCCCACTTTGCTCTCAGTGCTCATTTCTAAGAATTCCTTGTTCTGATCTTTCATTGCTTTTCCTTTTAGACCCTGTATCAGCTACTCCCTTGGAGTCATGCACAGATATCCCTTAATGCTGAGCCACACTCCCTTCTGCACGTGAAGTCACTGGCTGTATGATCTTCACAGCTCAAACTACCAGGGAAGTTGGCAGCGGAGACAAACATTGGCAGTGGCTTTGTGGTATCTGGACTGAAATCAGAAGTGATTGGTGTTATGTGACAAAGATGCAGGAGACATATCATGAAGATGGTCGTGGGAACATTTCAGAGGGTGGAAGGCCTTTGAATATCTAAAAGAAATGGCTCTCAGGAAGAGGGAAGAGAATGTACCCAGGCAGGGGTCAGACCGTGTTTGTAGAACCAAGTAATGGAAGCTATGGTTGGGGGAAGTCTAAGTATGAAAATGAAGAGGATGGAAAACAGGGCAAGTGTTAAGACCATTTCTATGTGTGGAGAAACACTCAAGGCTTTGAGTTCAGTGGCCTTTCTAGATTCACTGCTATTCTGACCACGAACTTCTCACCAAATGAGGGAAAATGTTCGGATTAGCGACTTGTCTAAAAGCAATAAGCACAGAAGACAAAGCTTGCTAACATTTTCCAGAAATTTTACTATGAAAGGAGCCAGAGAACTTGGACTAGAGCTGGATGTGGCAGGCAGACAGAGTAAGGAGCCTAGTGACATTTCTTTAACATTATTTTCAGGTAGACAGAACGAGAGTGTATTGTCAGGCTGATGGAGATAATGAAACTGAACCCAGCAAACGGCTAGTGCAAAACAGCAGAAACTTAGTTTAATCTTATTTATTTAGTTTAATCCTACATGGTAATGAGAAAGTATAGATAGGAGTAATTAAAGATAGACTAAGTAGTTTATGATGTACAAACTCTTTTAAGATGTTAAATAATATTAACGAAAATAAAGCTAAGAGGCAATTACTGTTATTCTAGTATAAAGGTAAATCACGTACACGTATGGAATTATCTAAGGTACAATTGTTTTATAAATTTAACTTCCTACCATTTTGCCTACATTGCTTAAAATCCAAAATTGTTAAATTTCGAATTTAAAATTGTTAAATTTTGGATAAGTACACTGAAGAATATTTTCCTAAAAATATCAAAGCACTTTGAAATACTACTATGGCGAAATTTTTGACTCATAGTGAGTTTGAGATTTTAATGCATATTTATAAGCTGTTCCCATCTCATAACATAATTACCTTCAGACTGCATCCCCAGAGCAGCCACTTAACACCAATCATATAAATAACACTGTGACATAAATATCTTGTTTACTATTAATGAATTAATTAATCCTAATTAATTTTAGGAAATTGTAGGTAAGTCTAGGAAGTTAAGGTGTGACTCGCTGTCAAATTCCTGGACATTTTCATTGCTCTACAAAGGCCCACTAGGTCACACATATGCCATGCTGCCTGGTTGAACACAGGACTAGAGCAAGACTTCACTGTGACAGATGCCCATCCCACCCCACACTCCTGCCTCCGGCTCAGATATGGCCACCTGTGAGTTGGTGCTTTTCAATGGAGGAGTCCAGGCTTCAGTCTGTGAGGTCCTGGGCTGGAGTCTCAGTGCCAGCACTTCCTGCTTGGTTAACTTTAAACAAACCTCTAAGCTTTCTTGTTCTCCTCATCAGAAAACCCCACTTCATCTCTGCTGTTGGATGGTTAGATTGCTAAGCAGTGCTGTATAGTGCTTAACTTGATAGCGGCTCAATACCATCTGACCTAGGGGTGCTTTAATTGGCTGCTGTCCTCATGGAAACTCTAACATTTAGGTCCAGCATTCATATCCTTTTTACAAATAACGCAGGATCCAACCAGCGCTGTTATTTGTCACCAATTCTAGCCTCCACCATCCTCTGTTGTTCAATTCTTCTCCCATCTTTTCTTTCGTGGGCAATAAAAGTAAGAAGAAACTCAGCAAAGGATAGAGACCTTATTCCTCAAAGTGGAAACCCGAATCAGAAAATGTATTCAGCATAGATTCACAAAAAAATACATTTATAAATCTTCCATATGAAAGATACTATCATATAATTTGAAGTTTTAAGACTATCAAGGCAGTTAGTAATAAATTAGAGTCATGAAAAAAAAATCCTTAAAAAGCCCAAGACAAGCACTTGAGAACCCAATCTTTTTCTTTGCCAAATTCTGCTTATCTTTGGGTTTCACATTGAGTTCACAGCACGCAGGAGGGCTGCTGGAAACTAAAGAATTGAATATTTTACTTGTGATATGCCCTCAGGATGTGACACATGTGTTTGTTTTTATTTCGGGTACATGCTGCATTGGTGATTTGCTCACACAGGTCTGCACTCTGGCATTCTGCAGACAAGTACAACATTCAATAATAAAACTATCCAATGACAATATCGGTTTTACCTTGGGAGTACCTATAATATCAAGCATGAATGTGTGAAGTTTTCCAAGGAAAACCAATGAGAAAATATGAAGAAATTAGCAAGATATTTAAACATTTTAATTATACTTTTTTTGTCTTGAAAACAGAGATTAATGGGGCTGGAGAGATTGTTCAGAAGCTAAGAGCATTAACTGTTCTTCTGAAGGACCTGGGTTTGAGTCCTAGAACATACATGGCAGCTCACAACCACCTGTCACTCAATTCCATAGGATCTCACACCCTGTCTGACTTCCATGGAAACGGGGCATGCATGTGATGCACAGACATGCTTGTCAACCAGGTGAAATAAAAAGAAAAAATTTAAAAAGAAATGCTGAAAAAGTACAGAATATGTCTGATATTAAGTTAACTCGGGGAGTAAAAAGGAGTACAAACAGATTATTTGGTAGAATTAATTCTAAGTATAATTCTAAATAAACCATTGGATAAAAAGCTGACGCCTCTGGAAGTTTTCCACAGCGCAGATTACAGGAAGGGTTGGGTGTACCCTGGAAACAGAGAGGATGAGGCTTCGGATGGAAAGTCCTGACATGTTGATGTGCTTTTCTTTTCTTTTCTTTTTTGAAGAAAAGCGGGAGACAGGCATTGCCAGGTACACAGGCTGGGTCTGCTGATAGCAGCCATCCAGCAGTTACACCCACGCTGTTATCGTGGAGAACGGCAGTGCTGTTCCAACTGGCCGTTGTCATGACGTGCAGGCTGTTTTGGTTTCTCTAGCTTACAAAGCTGGCATGAGAGTGTGATGTCCTTAAATGCTGTAAAACCATTTGGGGAGGAAAGATTCATAGGAACAGGTGGGAGGATAAAACCAAGCCTGTAAGTACAGAAGAACAGAAGTAAAACAACGAATAGAGCTTAGAGTATGTAACAGGCACCTGGGTTCTGTTCCTCAGCCCTGTGAAGCTGGGATACCTGGTTGACTGATGAGAAAGCAGCAATCACAGAATTAACTTGCTGCAATGTAAAGTCCAATGAAAAGTCAGTTGGACTGGACCAAAATGCTTGCCTTTTCCAAAATACTGTAAAGTGTCTATGATTGAACGCTTCAACACAATGTGTCTGCCAGCTACTGTCATAGAGAAACAGAAAAAGTAACCAAAGTTCCCCTCATCTAACCAACTTCTTAACACAGAGACTTGATAGCAAAGCCAACCAAACAATATAAAGTATGCCCCGAAAACAACACAGTCAACACAGCTTTAGTTAGCCACAGAGAGTTACTGAAAAAACAAAAACAAAAAAAAACCCTTTTTTAAATTTTACATACCAATCCGAGTTCTCCCTCCCTCCCCAACTCATACTCCCCCCCACCTTCTCCCCACCCCTCCCCCATCCACTCCTCAGAGAGGTTGAGGCCTTCCCAGGGGAGTCAACAAAGTCTGCCACTTTGAGGCAGGATCAGTCTTTCCCCTGGATCTAGGCTGAGCAAGGTATCCCTCCACAGGCAATGGGCTCCAAAAAGCCAGTTCGTATACTAGGGATAAATCCTGATCCCACTTTCCACGGACCCACAAACTGCCCAAGCCACACAACTGTAGGGCCCGGGGCTACCCTTGTTCCTGGGGTTCATCTTGAGGACAGTTTCTGGTCTGCTAACTAAAGCATTCCTCTTTGTTCCAGTGCCGCCCCTGCCCCGCCTGGTGATTAGCTGTAGGGCATTGTTGACGCCATCTTTGGTATGGTAATTTCCCACCTGCCTGGGTGGAATCCTTGTGCAGCTGCTAGGTCAGTAAGGATTTCCCCCAAGGTTGAATAAACCGCTTTCAGCTGATCTCCTTTGTGTGTTCTTTCAATCTCCAGGCCCTTGCCTGACTCGCTTAAGGTACAGTGGCGCGCGAACTGTACCGAGGGTATAACACAAAATCGGGTGTTACACACAACTGTCACACAGAGGGCCTAGTTTGGTCCTATGCAGGTTCCCCGCTGTCAGTCTGGAGTCACAGAGAGAAATATTAAAGCAGAGAAAGGGAAAAGATGTAACGATGAGGATGCAGGTGTCTCCAGTTCAAATGGGACCTGACTCATCTATAAACTGTGCCAAAAGTATTTAGATACCAGGGATCACAAGGAAAAGAAAAAGTATATCTTAACACCTTATACTTCATTACTGAGAAGTCTAACTCTGATTGCCTCAAGGGTCACCAAAGGGCAAAGATGACAGCTGAGGGACCTTGTCTTTGACAACATTTGAAAACAGTCCCCACCAGACATGCTCTGACTCTATGTAGCTAAGCTAGCCCTGGCTCCTGTGGGAGGAGTTCGGGTTTGGAGACAGAAGGCAATGCTGGGGTGTTTGCTTTGCTTCATTTTAACTCGAACTTTCTTCTTGTGGCATTTAAATATATGATGAAACCTAACAGCTGCCAACATGACAGCATTTTACAATATGAAGTAGATAAGATTAAGATGTCTTAAAATCTTTAACAAATACAGTTTCCCATTCTAACCACACACAAAAAAAGGGGGGCAGTTAAATGTATTGCTCACCCTTGAGGAATACAATCTGCTTTAATCATATCATTGAGGTACTGAATTTTGTAGAAGTGTTAAACGTAATAAAATACATTTTAATATACATGATAATAAGTATTTCCGTATGTCAATTCTGACTCCAAAGGTTTATTTGTTAAAGATCAAATAGAAGATTTTGCTAATGTTTCTTTTTTTTTAAGTGCTTCTTTCATGTCCTTCAAACATTCCTAAGTGTCTGAGTAGGGGTGCCATTGTTATTACAAAGGCCTGGTGGCTGACGGACCATCTATTTATTTCATGCTAGAAGGAAGTGCACTTTAAATCTATCTCCCTTCTATCCTTTCCTTCTGAGACCAGGCAAGGCGCAGGCTTCATACATAACTCATGTCTTGATGCAGCATGTGATAGGGCTTGGGTGGCAGCGGGAGGGAGCCCACGTTTGGCGTCCTGCTATCTCCCATCTTTCACTAACACTCCATTTCTATCCCAACATCCGGCCTCTCCACCCGCAGCCTGTTACATTCAGACTCTGACAGAGGAAAAATCACCAGACCTTGAGGAGTAAGGGAAAGAACTGGAGTTCACTTTGACCATTAAATCTAGATCTGTTAAGGTCAAACATGTCATTGTATTTAGAGTCCAGGTGATCAAGCTGACAATAATGTGGTGGTGTTATTCGTTTATTTGTTTGTTTCTTTGTTTTGCTATCAAGGAGGAAGATTTTAACCATGTTGGTCAAGTGTAGAAACTATTCTAGTGGTGTGTGCTTTGTGTTGGGAGTTACTTTATACAATAAAACTCTAAGAGGGGATGAGTACCCACCTAGAATGTATGAAGTCCTGAGTTATGTGGAATATGAAAGTGGAACCCCAGTACCACACAATTTTAAAAGGAAAATACCCCAGTCTTGGATGTTTGCATGCAGGCCAACACGGGGCAACCATACCTTCTCCCTTGATAGTCAGTCTTGTTGCTCCATTTATGCTGCCGTATTTAGGAATAACTTCTGTCACTTTGGGGACTGTCTCAGAGCCATCTGAAAGACTCACGAAGATGGTAGTTGTGAATCAATCATGAGCTCATTTCAAACACCGCATTTCCCACTCGTATTGTAAGATGGGCCTGAAGGTGACTAATGCCCACACCGGGATTCAAGTTCTTAAGTAACACTCACTGGCCTTGGGTGAAGAACTTTTGGGGTTGACAAAGAGGAAGAATTACATAACCATTCTCAACATTCGCACATACCGTGTTATAACACACTTGTAAACCCGTAATTTCATGTCATGCTCCACTAGCTACAGATCCAGAACCACACACAGCAGCTTACAAACACAGGCAGCACCGGCCCGGAGAAACAGACTGCTGTCAAGTGCAGTGATAAGGAGGTGCAAGGACAAACGCTGCATTACAAAGAGAGAGTGTGCCCTGTCACTTTAGGACTGACGAACAGTTCCTGCAGCCTAAGAGCATCCTAATGGTGCTGAGTGCTTAGTGGGAAGACTACTAATCCTCTCATCAAACTAGGCTAGCTTCCTGCAGATTGAGAAGAGAGCATTAGTACCTGCTCCCCCAAAGGCTAGGTTAGTACAAAATGACGAACAACTCAGGGTTCTCACACTTCTGGGATCACACTAGTTTCTAGACAGGGATTCCTCTGCTGTATCTCAAAGGGCAAATACGAGCTAGTGAGCATGGATCTACTATCACGAAATAGGAGGAAGGTTCTAATAGAAGGAGTTGAGGGACCGCCAGAGCAAGCCAGACGTTTCTCTGGAGAACTGCTCGAAATTCTTTATGATGAATCAGAAATACAGTGAGTGGTGGCCAGAAGTGTTTTATTTTTTTGCTTAGAGTGGCATTTTAACTAGAAGCAAAAACAATTTATCAGGGTAAATAGAAAATCTTAAGACACAAAGAACAACCACAGAAATTATTGCTTTGAAATGGATGCTCGGAAATTAAATGTTAAGGAAATTATGATTGTTTAGTTCATTACGGTCTGAAAACATGTAGCATGGACTTGATTTATGGCAGCCGTAGCTCGTCAGTATGACAGGAGGCCAAAGGAGGCACCAGCGCCGAGACCCAAGGTCTGTGAGCTTCAGGTTAGCATAGACCCTCGTGCTGTGTTCCTACTCTCTGCGCCTGCCCCAGACAGCCGAGAGAGGATCTGCGTGGAGCGGGATCCTGTCTCCAGACCTTGCGGCCTCCCCTATCTCAAATTCATCCTCTCCTTACCTCAGAGCTCAACTCCAATTTCTTATCACTTTCTCCCCGGCCCTCTCCTGGGTATTGCTGTGAAGACTCTGGGCAGCTTACCCTGTATTTGACTGACACCCACCACAAGGACCTATTCCTGGCTTCCTGGGACCTGTCTTCCCTTTCGTAGGGAAAGAGATCCAAGAAGATGGAGTAGGGGAGGGCGGGATGATTCAGGTGGGGCCTACCGACTGCACCTTACCCATCACTAGCAGCTTTTCTAGTCTCTTTTTGACTGTGTCATTTTGAAGGGAGGTGAGGAGCTTCCTCAGTTCAACACCCAGCACATTTGTAAGAGGTTTTTTTTTTTTTTTTTTTTTTACCTAGCCCTACCGGTGTGGTGTCTTTCTCCGGACCCCACCTCTGTCTCAGCCTCTCTCAGTACTACTGTCTCTGTACCATGTCAGAAGGTTCCTGTTAGGCCTTCCTCCAGGACACCAGGTTCCCAGGAGCGCCTCTGCCCAGGGCAGAAGGCAGGTGGTCCCGCCTCTCTGTGACCCGTGGAGCTGGATATCTGGATTGGCTTCCTACCTTCTTACCTTTGCTGGCGTCTGCTGCACACCGACACAGCCCCAAGAGAAACCAGGTCCCCGAGAGCCACAGGTGTCCCATGGCCAAGCCGGTGCTGCGAAGTCTGCACCAGCCGCTGGCTCGCAGCAGCCTCCTGCGCTGAAACTTGGCTTCAGACGCCGCTCAGGCGCACCGGACTCGCCCAAGAAGCCAAGAAGAACTTGGCCAACACGGGACCGCCCCGCCCCGCCCCGCCCCCAGCTTGCCCGCTGTGCCTTTAGGCCTTCAGGATCACACACACACACACACACACACACACACACACACACACACACACACACGCATGCACGCACCACTTTCCCATTATTTCCCCCACCTTTTATTTTTCTTCTTTTAAATTCTGGAGTTATATATTTTTAGTTACATCTTTATTTGCCTGTCTACCTTGCTCATTAATCGTCCAAGATATGTTAATTATAAGACCAGCTAATACACAAACCCCACTGTCTTTCACACAGGATAGCTGTACTGATAGCTCAAAGTTTCCCAAAGCCCGTGTCTACAGCAGAGCAGACAGAACTCACAATTGAAAACGTCCTTGCTAGTACTGACCCCACTGTCGTGGGAGACTGAGGCAGAGTTACTTTAAGCAGTTTGCTCAGGGATATGCTCCTACTGGAGAGAGGGCTTAGCGCTGTGCCAGAGTCCACACAGCCTGCTTTTTCTACCCAGAGCCTCAGGAGGCAGATCTCTGCAGAGGGGCTGAAGGGATAGCAGGCGCTGCTGCCCTGTGCATCAGGGTTCCGGGTAGCAGAAGAATGAGCCATCAGTGCCCACCTCTGGACTTCGTGGTTCTCACAACTATGGAACACTCCTCGAGGCAACTATAGAATCTACACTGTCCTTAATACTCTAACCTTGACTGTCCACCTCTTCCCTCTACTCCACACATCCTGCTTATCTTGACCTGCACCTGACAGGATGCTTAAGCTGACTATGGACCGAGACCTAAAAGACAGGGTGGACGGGTTTGTTTGAAAAAGGAGAATAGCCGAATAATGTGTTATTCCATGAGGGGGAATGTTCACGCACTAGAACTGCATGCTGCTGCATTTACGGTGGCAACATCATCGTGCCTAGAACTAATCTCATGTGTTTGACCAAAGAAAATATGTAAAATGGAACGTGAATGGTGATTAAATAAAATCTAGAATTTTTCAATAATTTCAGAATTTAGAGATCCGTATGCTTTCCCGTTTTGAAAATTGTAATTTTGAAAATTCTCCTAACTAGAGCATTTCAAATTCCCTGTTCATATTTTCACTTTTCACTCTTTGGGAAGAAATACTTTTCTTTCAGTACATGCCCCTGCTTGTGCACCCTCAAAACCTGTTCTTACCCACCTTACTGCTTCATCAACGTCCCTTTTATCTCCTGGTGAGTGCCCTCTCCTCTTGCCCACTTTTCCTAGAAATGGGCACAATTTTCATTATGTAAAGACTAAAAATAATGTGTGTGGGGGGGTGCATGTAATTGTGTGTGTGTGCGTGTGTGTGTGTGTGTGTGTGTGTGTGTGTGTGTGTTCCTGACAGTGTCTTACTATACAGCTTGGGCTAGCCTCAAACTCTGGATCCTCCTCTCTCCGCATTTCTAAGGGATGCAATTACAGGCCTGTACCACCACACCCAGCTAGACCTTTATCTTTTTTT